AGTTTGAAGTTCCCAAATCACAAAGATTGTATCAAGAGGCATCCATGAATGTAGCGCTGTACTACCTACTAGTGTGAGTGTGAAAAACACAAGTTTGACGCTCCCAAATCACCAAGAATGTATCAAGAAGCATCTAGGAAAGAATCGGAGTACTACCCTCTAGTGTATACGTAAAAGAGGAGAGTTTGAGTCGCCCATGGAAGAGAGAAGATGAAGTAAGAGAAGATGGAGGAGAAGGGGAGAGAGATGAGGGAGATCGAGTTGGAGAAGAAGAGGAAGAAGACAAAGAGAATGGAAGTGAAGAGGAGGAAGTAGGAGATGAAAGGGGGGAGAAGAGAAGGAAGAAGGAGGGAGTGGGGATGAAGAAGAGGAAGAAGAAGGAGGAGAGGAAGAAAAAGAAGAAGACGAAGAAGAAGACGAGGAAGAAGACGAAGAAGAAAAAGAAGAAGAAGAAGAAGAAGAAGAAGAAGATGAAGGTGAAAAAGTTTCTTCCTTTTTCTCACCTTGTTGATTCCTTGATGTTGGTGTCCTCTTGATGAAGCTTTCACTCCTTGTACAATCCCCTTTTGGCTATGACTTTTTTCTTCTCCAAACCCTTCTCTCCTCCTTCCTTGCTCTCTCTTAGGCTATGGCAAACTCCCCCAGCTATGGCTATGGAGTCTTCCCCTCTAGGAGGGCTAACGAGGGTTCCTCTTGCCTCTCCTCCTCTCCTACACCCAGGAGGTAGTATAGCGCTTCACACCAAACTTGTGATTTTCACACTCACACTAGTAGGTAGTATAGCGCTTCACCCATGGATGCTTCTTGATACAATCTTGGTGATTTAGGCTTTTCAAACTTGTGTTTTTCACTCTCACACTAGTAGGTAGTATAGCGCTACATTCATGGATGACCCCTGGTTCAACCTTCGTGATCTGGCCCACTTAGACTCTTGTTTTAACTCACATGATAGCATGTGATGTTCCGGTTGATCTTCCCTTCATGTGCATGTGTTTTTCATTAGTCTAGCCACTCATTGTCATGTTCATACTTGGTGTGATGTTCTGGTTGATCTTCCCTCCATGTGCATGTGTTTTTTCATTAGTCTAGCCACTCATTGTCATGTTCATACTTAATGTGATGTTCCGGATGATCTTCCTTTCATGAACATGTGTTTTTCATTAGTCTAGCCACTCATTGTCATGTTCATACTTGGTGTGATGTTCAAATTGATCTTCCCTTCATGTGCATGTGCTTTTTCATTAGTCTAGTCACTCATTGTCATGTTCATACTTAATGTGATGTTTCGGATGAGCTTCCCTTCATGTACATGTGTTTTTCATTAGTCTAGCCACTCAGGTCATGTTCATACTTAGTGTGATGATCCAGATGATCTTCCCTTCATGTGCATGTGCTTTCCATAAGTTCTAGTCACTCATTGTCATGTTCATACTTAGTGTGATGTTCCGGATGATCTTCCCTTCATGTGAATGTACTTTCCTTTAGTCCTAGCCACTCATTGTCATGTTGATACGTAATGTGATGTTCCGGATGATCTTCCCTTCATGTACATGTGCTTTTCATTAGTCTAGCCACTCATTGTCATGTTCATACTTGGTGTGATGTTCCGGTTGATCTTCCCTTCATGTGCATGTGCTTTTTCATTAGTCTAGCCACTCATTGTCATGTTCATACTTAATGTGATGTTCCGGATGATCTTCCCTTCATGTACATGTGCTTTTCATTAGTNCGGATGATCTTCCCTTCATGTACATGTGCTTTTCATTAGTCTAGCCACTCATTGTCATGTTCATACTTAGTGTGATGTTCCGGATGATCTTCCCTTCATGTGCATGTACTTTCTTTTAGTCCTAGACACTCATTGTCATGTTCATACTTAATGTGATGTTCCGGATGATCTTCCCTTCATGTGCATGTGTTTTTCATTAGTCTAGCCACTCATTGTCATGTTCATACTTAATATGATGTTCCGGTTGGTCTTCCCCTCATGTGCATGTGCTTTTTCATTAGTCTAGCCACTCATTGTTATGTTCATACTTGGTGTGATGTTCCGGTTGATCTTCCCTTTATGTGCATGTGTTTTTTCATTAGTATAGTCACTCATTGTCATGTTCATACTTAATGTGATGTTCCGGATGATCTTCCCTTCATGTACATGTGCTTTTCATTAGTCCAGCCACTCATTTTCATGTTCATACTTAGTGTAATGATCCGGATGATCTTCCCTTCATGTGCATGTGTTGTCCATAAGTTCTAGCCACTCATTGCCATGTTCATACTTAGTGTGATGTTCCAGATGATTTTCCCTTCATGTGCGTGTACTTTCCTTTAGTCCTAGCCATGCATTGTCATATTCATACTGAATCTGATGTTCAAGTTGATCTTCCCTTCATGTGCATGTGCTTTTCATTAGTCTATCCACTCATTGTCATGTTCATACTTGGTGTGATGTTCCGGTTGGTCTTCCCTTCATGTGCATGTGCCTTCCGTTAGTCTTGCCTCTAATTGTCAAGTTTATGTTTGGTGTGGTGTTCCGGATGTTTACTTAGTCAGTATCTTCCCCTTGTGCATGTGCTTTCCACTAGTCTAGTTTCTCATTGTCAAGTTTATGTTTGATGTGGTGTTCCGCAAGAGGGAAAGGGAAGAGGGACAAAGGGGCTATGGGACCCTTGACATAGAGCCTACCCATGAAAATGACTTTTGTGTTTGAAGACTTGGAGTGTAAATGAGAGTGCAATCGTACCAAGGGAAATGCGATGTTATGTGTGCATGCATATGGGGACCCCGAAAAGACTAAGGGGCCTACTTCAATAAGGAAGACAACAAATTATGAGACCCGATGGATGCGTAAAGGCGAGGGAGAGGACGGCCCCGCCGCACCCCGATGACGCCATATAGCCACAATGCTTAGGGAAATGGTGCGTGGCCTAAGGATGATGCTTATCCTACGCACAAGAGAAGAGAAACACTCAAAGAATCATTGGATTGCCTGCGCATTGGAAGGAGCAATCGCATGAGAACACAACAAAGAATTAAAAAAAATCAGCGTTGCGGAACAACCAGCGAGACTACTACCCGGCGTGAGGGCTGAGCTACATCCCCAATGTCAAAGCTCTGTCGTGCAATGACCCACCCCCATCCATCTCAAAGCACTAGGTGGGGGTGACCCTGGGACGAATGGCCCGCGCCCTAAGCATGAGTGTGGGCGGGCCGAGCCAACTGGGACCTGCAGTGGGGTCGACTAAGGCTCCAAATTCTATCGGGGTTTGGCCCTACAAAAATGGTGGAGGTGAGGGGCATGGGGTTAAACTGACCCGTGCGATTCCGAGGGGGGCGCCCGACGCATTGACGTGTACACAAACCAAGATAAGGAAAATGGACTTGTGCTTACTCTTCCCTTGAGAAAATCAGATTTGAGGGCGGCTGGGCGCATGGCATGGTCAGACCTAGAGGAATAACGTGCATGCTTTGCACTTGGTTAGCCATCTCCTTGTGGAATGGCTCTAGCCCTCCTTCGTTCGGTGCTGGTGTTTGCCAGGCCGGGGAAGCCTTGGGCAAGTCGCAGGTCGACCCTTCCTCTTCGTATGAAAGAAGGGCTCCGATTACCTGGTAGGCGGTTGGTCCTTCGGCTTCGGCTGGGATCCGATGAAAATCCTATGGCGGAGTGATCCGACCGAATGGGTGCTTTCCCCTTCTTCTTTGAGTCCAGTGGGCTCATGCACTTTGGACCTTTTTAATGATTGAAGAAACCAATATGAACACAACGGGTCATCAAGAAAGAACAATCCCGCCCTGTGAAAGGACAGACAAATGAAGAAAAGGGAAAGGAAGGGAGTTGCTAGACTCCAAGGAAAACTAGCTCACCCTTGAAGATTCTCACGAGAAGGAACCAACCACTATGTATGAAAGTAGGGAGAGTGACACTCATTGTCCTGAGAGAAAATTTGTGAGTTATGGGTAGGAAGCGCTGGGTGCACCAAGGGAAAGGCACTTGAACTATGTGTGTCCCGATTGGGACTTGTGTTTGCATGATGGGATTCGAGCGTCCTGCCTTTCGGAAGGAAAGGATTGGTCTGTGCGGGTTGCGAAACGTCGTTCTCTTTTTGTAGGTTGCCGTGTGTTCGTATGTGGAGGTTAGGCCACCGAGCTGTCGGACGGGAGTTTGTCACGTCGGTTGATTAGTAGCATTCTCGTTCGAGCGGTGACGGGTTTGGCTCGATGATCTGCCGGACGGGGTGTGAAATCTCCTCAGGCGGGGCTTAGCCTGTTGGCTGGCGGGGGGAGTACCACTGCATGCGGATAAAGACGGAGCCTCCGAGGCGATTAGTAGCTTCTCGTAGCATGGTTTTGGGAAAGGTTGATACTTGTCGGACCGACGGAAGTGAATGCCCGAACGGCTGACTTTGTCCCTGTATTTAGGCACTCGGGGTAACCCTCGGTGTCGATATGGATGTGCAAAGCGGCAAGACGGGATGGGGTATTTTGGGGACAAGGAAAGGGCTAACGCCTTGCCGGAGCCTGGGTACCGCGCTCGCGACGGTTAAGCTGCGCTTAAGGTATGGGGTAAAACTCTACCGATAGTATCAGCGGAGAGACCATATTGGGATGGTCAGTGAGGAGATGACCGGCTCGTATGTGAGATTGCCTTATTTTTTTTATGTGTCCCCCCCCCGTAAAGATTGATTGAGCTTGGATTGTTGGACGGGCATTCTTCTAAGTCTATTCCCCCTCCCTTCTAAGTCCACACGAGTGAGAGATGATCGGAAGGAAGGAGGATAAAAGTCAGATGGAATGAAACCAAGAAAATGAATATGGGGAAATGGATGGCCGACCGAGGATATTCAGGGGGGGAGGTACTTAGGAATGGGGAGGTAAATTAGGGAGACCTTAATGGGGGGTCTGAAATAATCCTCATTTAGGAAAAGGGGCTGACCTAACCAGAAGAACCAGTTGGTACTCTTTTATGAAAACAGGGCCCGGGTGCTGGAAGCAAGATGGCGCGATGGTTGTCTCCCCCGACTTATACCAGCGGTCCAGAGATGCCAGTAGACGTAAAGGATGGGGTGTCGGTCGTCCTCCCGGAAGATGGGGCGTGGACGGAGCTTGAACCAGCATATCAAACCGTAATGCTAGAAGGGGAGGACGCGTTCCTATGGATAGAGACGGTATGGGCTAATGTTAGCTTGACAAGGTTGTCGCCAAGTTTAATGGATTTGGAGTTCCGGGGAACAGTGGAAGCTCGGGGGTGGGTCTACTTATCGCAAGATGGGGAGAATGCTATGGTCGTAGAGTTGGTACTCGGGAATACGCCAGACGAGCTGTTTAGGAAGGCTGAAGCGGAAGTTGTGTGTGTCGCGTGTCAGCGAAGGGAGATGGAAATGGAAAGGGTAGATGTGCGGGTGGAACTTGGGGATAGAGGAAGCATGAGGCGACCCGTCAGAACCATGCGATGCGTGTTGCCTCCCTTCCTAGTGGATGCGGTGTTTGGAACCCGGAGCAGACTGGTAAGGATATGTCAGTCCATGACGAACCTTGGACTATACCAATGCGCTAGGCAGGATTTCTTTCGGTTGTCAGTAGAAATGGGGCCGTTTGAGGGGAACTGGGCGGACGAACTGGCCGAGATACTAAGCTGCCTTAGCTTAGGCAATATCTATGTCTCTAGCCCTGTACATTGGGGGATAGTGTATAGAAATGTGGCAATAGGGAAGACATTTCTGGAAGGGGTGAAAGAGTTATTCTACGACGAAGAGGACGACTTCAGTGATGAGGACGAGGATGCAGAGATAGAGGACTGAGACTTCTAAGGAGGGGGACTTGACCTTGGGAAAAAAAAAACCGGGTGGCCTGGTATTGTGCAGGAAGGGAAAAGGATGATTAGAGAAGAGATGATGATGGAATACACCTTCAAGGGATGGGAACCAAAACGACTCAGAGGGGGGGTAGAGATGCCTATACTAACGGAAAACGAATGGAGAGGGACCACGTGCGACTGGGTTGGGTTTGAGGTTGCCCGGAAATTATCATATGTATGGATAGAACGGATTTGGAACTCGATAAGGGAAGACGAAGGTTGGGATGAGTTAGCAGAGGGCAACGTGGAATCAGTCGGAACAATTGTCCTCTCCGAGGACGGGTGGCACCTGTTTTGCAGTATGTTAGCAATGGGACAAGATCCAATGTGGCTTCTAGGGGATGCAGAGGCGCGAACCCGAAAACAAGGCAAGAGGTTCGCCAACGAGGGGTGGGACGAAGTTAGTAGCAAAGTTGTGATGGGAGGGTGGAAAGAACTCAGGCCTCCCTGCTTGCGCATAACAGTTTGGGTGCCCGAGTTCGTGGCCGACTGGTTCGGGGGTTTTGAGCACATTGCAGACGTAGCCGACTCCATGAGGAAAGTACACATAGAATGTGCCTTGCTGACCGAGGAGTTCTATAGGTTCTCCTTAAAATATGGGCCCTTCTACGGAGATAAAGCCAGTGAGGTCATCACCATCCTGAGGATAGGTAAATATGACCGCCTACAGGTAAGCGTGGAAGCTTGGGACGCCATAGTTAGCCGGGAGGCGGCGGCCGCGCCATCCTATGTGGATGATGTTTTATGCTCTTTGAGGTTCGGTGGTTTGATTAAAGGGACTCAAAGTTCGAGCGCCGCAGGAACAACGGAGTATGGGGGGGGGGTGCATGTGAATTAGGATGTAGCATAAGAAAGGGGCGTGTACACTAGTCGGCAGGGGACGTGAGGAGGCCAAAATAGGGGCAGAAATGAGGATGGGATAGTGGCGGAACCAGTGTACAATAGGAAGAGGGTACTGAAAGACTAAAGCACGAAAGATGCGGAATCTCAGTGGGTGCAGCAATCGAACTAAGGAAGCAGAAGAGGAGGCATTGCGAGATGGCCCGGCGAATGGCGTTCTGGGGAGATAGGCCTCGCGGGATCCTACCACCAAGAGCATCAGGAGACAGGTTCGAAATAAGCCTACCATCAAGGAACGTTGTGAGTAACCCGGTAATGGACTGGGTGGGGGTAGAGCTGGTGGCAGACACGCTGTACCTAGTAATAGAACTGGAATGGCATACGAGAGGGGAATTCGGGGGCATAAATTTGGACCTGCCAGAGCGAGTGCATGCGACGGGATCCTTACACCTGTCGAAAGAAGGGTGGAGGACCTTTGGGATTGCCTTGGCCTCCGGGGATGACCCCCTGCGAATGTTCGAAGGAGCATGGCAAATAACCTGGAGGGAGGGGTTTGAGTTTGCAGATCCGAAACGAGATGACGTGACGGCCGAGGTAAAAGTCGCCGCAGCAGGGGTTTTTGAGCTACCGAATGAGGTCGTACGGATGAGTCTACCACCCTTCCTGCTAAGACGAATGGGAGGCATAGAACGAGTGGAGCAGGCGGTAACTACCGTAACTAGGTTAAATTTTGATGAAGCATTAATGTATCAAAAATACGATCGGGCCTTCCTAGAGATGGGGCCTTTCGGGGACGAACAGGGGCGCGAGGTGCTTTGCATTCTACGAGCAGTGGTAAATACTAGGTCAGGAGTCCCACAAATGAGTGATGAGGCCATGTGGAGAGTCATCCGGCGGGAGGTAGGTCGGGGCGCGACCTACATAGATGATCTCTACCGGCTGTACGAGCAGCCAGAGAGGGCTACTGCTCCCGGGGGTATGGAGGGATAGTTGGGACTAGAAAAGGGGGATGAAAACACGAAGGGCAAGGGGGCAGTAGGTGGACGGTTTCTGAGGATTGGCTGTAACCCTTTCTATGTGGACTATGCAGGGAATCACCAAAGTTACAATGGCAACAAGACGTGAGCGAATGGAACGCCAGCCCCATGTGCGAATGGAACGCCAGCCCCGGTACCCCGGACCGCCCTGGAATAACGGTGGACGATGGGAAGTATCCCTCCCATCGAGTTCTACCTATCAGGGATTCGACATAGAATGGCGTGCCGTGACTTCGGGAAGGGACGCCGCCTTCATGTTGGTAGAATGTCGGTGGACAGGGATGAGACTAGATCGGGGACCCGGAGACGATCTGTTTTCCAATCTAGAGGTTACCGGGACCATGTATCTACCTGAGATCGGTTGACACTCGTTGGGGGTAGAGACAGCACAAGGTCACGAGCTGACACCAGTTTTTCGAAGAGCCGCCCGGACGTTGACCCGGATAGGACAATCAGTCAGGGGTAGAAGAAACGTGGGCTTACTTACCCGGGTGGAAATGGGGGGATGGCGGGAATTCAGAGCACCAACCACACCCCTGAGGTGCCGGGTTCCCCGTTTTATGATAGACCTTGTCTTCGGGAGCCTCGCAAGGGCACGGGAGCTGGCAGACTCGGCAATAATGTGGGCAGACCACTTTCCCTCTCTGACCATCGGGATGTTCTATGATATCGTTGTGGAACATGGGCCGTTCTGGGAAAACAGGGCCCACGAATTACTGGAAGTCATCCACATCCTGATGTTTTGTGCGCCCCGGCTAGACTGGACGGGGTGCGAACGCATAATCCAAAGGGAAATCGAGATAGGGGAGAATTATCTAGCGGGGGTGGCACAACTATTTGAAGAACCTACCGAACCGGAAGGGCCACGAGGGCGAGAACGGGACTAGCACCCGCAGGCGAGCCAGTAGGGCAAATCAAGTACAGTCCGCTACATTCGAAGGCTCACCGACAGAAATAGGAAAGGGGGGTCTCGGACCCGGATGATCAATAACCACCAAAACACTGCGCAAGAAAACTTTTCCCTAGCGGGTTGCCCAACCCGGACCCCTACGCACCGACCGACGGAATAAGGGCGCTCTAAACGAGCCTGTCGTAAAGGGAACTAAGTTATGTCCCTTAGCTCGATAAGGCGGCAGGGCCGGCCGCGGCTCCTTCTTAGGGAAGCAATCAGAGAACGAAAATGGGGACGGGCTACTCTCGGAATAAGCTAAGTCAAAGAAACCAGAACCTATGGAGCCAAAAATACCTCGCGTTGCCTGTGTTCTGGGGATCCTCTGGTTTATGCAGAACTAGGCGAAATGGCGACGTAAGATGAGACAAATAATCATAGGAGCGAGCGAGGGTCAGGCGTAGGAGGCGGCGCCGTACAAAGTGAGGAGGGACAAAAGGACATAGAATCGATAAATTCGAATGATACCAAGGGAAACAGGAAAGAGATCTCCTTAGGAGGAAGCTCCGCGAGAAGTTGCTAATCTTCAAGGAGTCCTGGAGATTTGGAGGATCTAGAAAAAGCTTTTGCCGATATCCGCTTGAGCTTGTCGGACCGCAAAGGCGAGAAAGTCATGAGGGCTCCACTAGGGATGAAGCTTAGTTTCCGTGCGTTGCCGTAGGGAAGTTAAAAGCGCAGATAGGAACGCATCACATGGACGCTCTAGTAGACGGAGGTGCGAAAATCACACTCATAAGGAGAGACGTTGCAACAATTACCGGTTGTGTGGCTAACAAGGAAGTAATGGGGAGCGTCTCGCGGGTGCATTTGTAGTTGGAACCACCAAAACGGCGTCTCGGCGGGCTCCGAAGGACCAGAAGGGATACATGAATTTTAAGGGGGCCAAGGCGTGACAGAGGACCCCAACGAGGTCGAAGGAAGGTATCAACCGGTAGAAACCGGAGCTGCGAAAACACTCGAACTCAAAGATGGAGGAACAGGAGGATCTGCTAGTCCTTCCGGCTTGTGACACTGGTAGGACAAACCATCAGAGCAGTAAGACAGGTAGAGGGCGGGGAAACATACAGGGTAGGAAGGACTCTAAGGTGCGAGAGGAAGTGGAAGGACAACCCCGACGAGAAAATGATTAAGCTGATTTGAAGACGGGAACATTTCCAGAACTAATAGCAATAGGAGAACTAGGAGAGGTAGGGTCTAAAGTAAGTCTCTCCTTCTTTCGGTTGTATGGCGTGCAAGTCTGATACATTATGGGTGTCCCAAGGAACGGTAAGGGCCGAAGAGGCAAACGTGGTCAAACATGCAACATGGATGGTCGGAATCCAAGGGCTCAAGACGACAGGATAAATATCAGTCGAAGGTTCAACAACAAGGGGGTCAAAGACGATGCGAGGGGGATTTTGGGGAAAGGGATCCATAGTGAGAAAAGACCCGCAAAATCTCAAGGAATAAGGTCCGTCATAGTTGGTAATATGGACGAGTCACAAATTTCGGAGGGTGGTTTGACGAAGAAAAGGAAGGTGGCGGATACCCTCGGAGGGTGGTTTGACGAAGAAAAGGAAGGTGGCGGATACCCTACGAAGACTTAAGGAAATGGAGCAGATGGTAACAAATTACAAGACAAGTGTGATTGAGGAAATGATAAACGACGTCGAGACTATGGACGACAATGAGCTACACAAGGAACAACGACAAGGGGGGACGCAACGAGAGCGCATGATTAGGAAACCCCGTGGATGGGGAACGGGCGGAGATGAGAGGGTAGAACGGGGAGTTCGACCCTTTGAGAAAGAGACCACAAAGGAAGGGAGGGAGCCAAGAGCGGAC